GATTCCTATTCTCACTGACTTTATCTGGAAATCCAGGGACTGGTCTGGATCCTGCTGTGTTCTAGAAGCTCTTACCAACAACAGGAGTGTGTGCTGCTGTCAGGGTGAGTAAGAAGGGTCAGCAGGTGTGGGGAGTGGGTTTGAACATGAATGGATGGTGCTAGGGAATTCACAGTTGAAGGGACATGTGTTCACTGGGGGAAAATGCACCTTCAGGCTCCCTTTGTTAAGGAAGTCCCAGTGTTCACTTTTTTTTTTTCATTTCAAACTTTGTTGTATGGTTATATAAATATTAGAAGTTATTAGACAACTAAGTCAGCAGAATATAAAGACCAGAGAATTGTAGGCAAGGTACTTTCATAACTGACCAAGGAGTGAACTCAATTAATAGGAAAACAATTTTTTTAATTGTATAAATCTACACATAAAATAAAACTGATCCTTTTAGCCATATTTAAATCAGGGCCCTAGGGTTTTGAGGTACCCTTGGCTACTCAGAACTTTTAGGGTCCCTTGGTCCCTATTGCTCTGATTAGCAACTATTTCTGAAGCAGTAGAAAGATAAGATGCTGGAATAGGGATAGGGTGTGTTGAAGTGATTTTTCTACTGCTGCAATAAAACTCCATGAACAAGATAAATGACAAAAAGAAGCACCTAATTGGGTTTGGGTTTTAACTGGTCAATGGTGGCAGAGCAAAGGCTTGGAGGCAGGGAGCTGGAACAGCATGGGAGCTCACATCTCAAGGAAGCAGGGAACAGAGCTGAGGGAGTCTTTTGTAACCTCAAAGGCAGCTCCTGGTGACCCACCTCTTCCAACAAGACCACTCCCCACAATTATTCCCAAACATTCTTCAGTCCCAGGATCTAGCATTCAAATGTCTGTGTTTATTGAGGAGCAGGGTGAGGTGGGGGCGGGGCAGGAGCAGGTGAGGATGAGAAACAAGAGTGGGAGCAGCTACCTACCCACCTTGAAAGAAGAGTAACCCAGCTCCAGGTCCCAGTTCACTCCTGCTGATGAGCAAAGCTGTCCTTAGGTAGAGCTATAGTCTGTCCCACCGTCCTCCCCTCTCTGGTTGGGGCAGACACACACTTGAGCTCTTGTGTATAGGCTACCTGCTTCTATGGCATGACTTACCCTTTAGAGAATTGATGCCTGAAGGCATTTGGAAGCTGCTCGGAGCCATGAAACTTTGTCTTCCTCTCTCTCCCAACTCTTCTAGCTCCCTGCTCTTCTTGGTTCATCTCCTGTGAGACATGGCGTCCTCTGCTTTGCTGTAGAGTCTTCAAGGGGCAGTTCCATGGGATCCAGACTCTAGCCCTGCATTAGGACCCTTGTGGGGAAACTCCTTAGTACACATGTAACACACGCTGGGCAGCGCCTATGGGGTGTGTTCTCTTACGGACCTCTGTGTCTGGATTAGTTTCAGGGAAACCTGTTGACTTTGTGGTCCTTGTTCCCATGAGATGTCACTGTTTTCAGACCCTTGGTGACTGAGGGGCCTTGATTCTATGTGTATGGCCACACAAGGAAGGCCTAAAACATGGAGGAGATAGGGCAAAATGATGGGCTCCCCCTGCTTTCTATAACTAGTGAGTCCTAGGGACTGAGGCTCAGACATGAGATGCTATGAGACCTCACAAAGAAAGGCAGACAGATGAAGTTTGTGTAGAGTATACACTGCTTTCAGGCACTTCTTGACATCAATCTGACCCTTGAAAGCGACAAGATTATTTTTGATTTATGCAAGTTGAGTTAAAAATTGGAGAAAATCATAAATAAGGAGGAATGTGTCTGTATTTTTGCTTGAAGGTACCTGGTGTATTTTGAGCTGGAATCCGAGATTCAGTCAGGCATTGTCCCTAGAGCCAGGGACCAGATGCAAAGCTCCAAGCATCTCTAGATATTTTGTGTAAGTAAAGTTTGGTGGGAAATTACACAAGAAATCCTGGTTCAGGTTAGTCTGGGTCGTTCATGGTGGTTACAACTCAAGATAACTACACGTATG